TACACAAAATACAGATCAAGTCAATTATTTAAAATAATTTGAATTCATCTAAGTAGTTAGTACAGATATTAAGAGGTCTGAAAGTATAAATGAAGGGAATTAAAGAGGAAAAATTGATAAGTACATATCTTTTGGTTGAGCTTATTTCTTGTTTTATGAATCGTTATATTTTAAAACCTATGTTTTAAAATGATTTTACTTGTTTTTTTAGTAATATTGTCTTTTTGCAAAATGACCTTCAATTTACAGGATTCCAAACAAGCCACGTACTCAGGTGGTTTTCGTAAAAATGAAAATGTACGTTACGCAACTAAAGGCCGGGAAGAAAGAGCAGATCCTTGGTCAAACAGAGTCGGTGAACATAACAAAAGTCATCCTGAGGATAGAAGAGATATGGGAAGAATGGCGAAATTTGAGCTTCCAAGATCAATCGAACACTCTAGAGTGATGGAAGATGAGGTGAAACGGTCTTCTTCTAGAAACCGTGAATCAAGATCTCCTCGACGCGATCGTTCTCCAATTCGTGATCGCTTCAAGAGGCATTCGCCATCACCGAGGTCTCCAAGACGATCTTGGGCGCTAGAAAAGAGACGGAGCCCCGAAGATGCTGAAGTACCGCCTCCACCGATTTGGCCAGGTCAAGATCACAACGCTATAAAAGATATTCGCGAGAAAAGAAAACCCTATCCTACTCAGGCACAGGCTAGTCGTGGTCCAACTTGGGATATGAATAAATACGAACCAACTATTGATGAACGCAGGGAAATCCGTACAACCGCTGATGATAGAAGAGTTTTTGAACGTGCATCAACAAGCATACAAGTGCGCAAGGATTTGGACAAATGGAAGCCAATTGGAAATGACAGTCCGAAACTGAGTCCACCTCGTTATAAACCAGAAGAAAATGAGAGGGCTTTGCGTAAAAGGGACATTGAAATCCGCCATCAAGATCACCGAATGCAAGACAATGAACGAAAGATACGACCAGAGAGAAAAGAGTTTGAAGAGCCTCGACGTGACGATGAAAGACACTATAAGACGGCCTTTACTGATGCATCGGAGTTATCAAAAATTAAAGAAGAATTAACACGCCGCATCGAAAAAAAGTCGGAGATACTAAAGAAACAAGAGGAACTGCAAAAGGAAATTGAAGATGTTTACAACCGCGCTGCAGAATTTACCAAGAAAGCTGAGTACAGAAAGGGTGATCGAAGACACGATGACTATAATGAACAGCGTAAACGCGATGACCTCGACCCCAAAGAATTTGACCTTCCCACCTTAACACGCTTGAAAGAAGAACGTCGGGAGAGATATTATGAGCGGGAGGACACGCGGCCAGAGAGCAGAGATAAAATATCAAGACATGAGGATTCTAGAGCAGATGATGGCGGTGAAAAGAGAAATAAAGCTTGCGAAGCCATCACAGATAAAATATTAGAAAAGTTTGGTGGTATGCTCCCCAAAGATATTTTATTGCGCGTACAGAAAGAAATGAAACTAGCTGTTAGAAAAATTTTAAACAGAATGTTTGGCGATGAAGATGTCTCTTTCATAGAAATGATAATTAAGTTTAACTCTAAACACTCAACAAAAGATGAAGAAGATATATACGATAGAGTCTTGTCAAGTTTTCCGTATCAGTTCAAGAATATAAAACGACCAGCAAAAGGTAAGCTTTGCATTGAGATTGTATATAATTTAAAATTAACAAAGTGATAGTATAATTTTAAATAAACATGAGATTACTAATAAAATAATTAAAAATAATAGTTATGCAGTACTTTTTATAGTAATACAAATATTTTAATACATAAATATTTTTGTTAATTATGTAAAATCTTATTGATCATTGTTTATTTACAGATGAACCTTCTGAAATCGCAGCAAAAATACCAAAAACGTCTCCGATTTCTAATGTAGAGAAAGGTAACAATTACTTTTATAACTATATATATAACGCATTCGAAATCTCCATCTAACAAACATTCTAACATTAATTTCCAGATGTTGAAGCTACTCCGAGTTATCAAAGTAAGTATCTGGTCTACACATACTTTTCTTCAATAATATCCGGATTCTTAACATCAAAGTGTCTTTTTTCACAGCTCAAAATTGGCATTACAGCTACGGAACTCAACAAGTTGGCCAAATACCCACAGCTGCCTTTATTGCCCCTCAATACATGTTTCCCTATCCAACATTCTTCCCAGGTTATACCGATGTGCCCCAAAGTGTTAAAATGGAAATTAAGTCAGACAGCGAAGGATATGCGTTATTTTTGTGTAAAGATGATTTCCAACCAATTAACGGTTATGAAGCGGATCTTTTAAAAAATTACATTATCAATCAAATTAGTCAGGTATCACAAAACGGCCAGGGGTGGTCGCCTGACTGTACCTTGAAAGGGTTACAGAGTCCTTTTCGGTATGAAGTTCGTACCCGCGATACTGCATCCAGGGATTGGCTCTTAGGCGTAGACTTTAGTAAATTGACGGGCTTTAAGATTCTCGTTTACACTAAGGAAGAATTGTGGTATGAGCGTGCTGCTATTTGGCTGCCAGGTCATTCGAGATGTCGTATAGAGCCGCTGGAAAAGCTTAAACTGCAGAACAAGGGTCTCAAAAGCATAAATATAGGTACGTGGAAGGTTGTGAAGAAGGTAGTCACTGCGAGAGGTACTCGGATCTACGTCGACATGCCCCCGTCCTCCGCACGGGCTTTGGAGAATCACAAGATGATGCTGAGCTATGAGCTACAAAAAGTGAACGTCTTTCTCAAAGCCGTTGCTGTAGACAAGGATGCTTTCGACGCAGGGTTAAAAGAAAATTCTTTTAACTCTGATGCTATCCCGCAAAGTCCAATGCCATCTCTTCCCAATAACCCAAATGCTGTCCAATTCTGCGAGACAGGAGATAAGCCAGTGTCTCTTGCAATTGCTCGCAAAATAAAAGACTCAATTGTATACCATCTCTTCAAATATCTCCAAGGCGGCGGATCCAGTCGAACAGATTTCGTCAAGTACGGGTTAACCGTCGCCGGTTATTTTGGGGTCATACCTGAAAATGATGAGTCTAAACGATGGCTCACTACCTTTGAGTTTCGCCATATCAATAATCAACCCATAATCGTGGTCGGTGCTAACGATTATCAGTCTCGTTTTATTAAAATGTTTATTTTAATACCTGGAGAACAGTTGTGCAATTCAGCTTTAGTGTTAGAAAGGCTACGAGTCAGCAATCAGGGTGTAAAAGGTATTAATTTCAATAAATGGCAATACCGGAAGATGGAATATCATAAGGTTCCCCGTCAGTCGACTTATGAGTTTGACATGGATTTAGACTCTATTGAAAGGATAGCTCATTTGAAATTCCAGCTGGATTATGTTGTTAATGGGGTTGAAAAGGTAGTTACTGTCAAGTCTCAGTATCCAGAATTTAAGTTGAGGGAAATTATCCAGAAATACAAGGACGAGAATATTGATAAGTATGACGTAGCTAACATGGAATTGGCTTCGGGTTCGGAATCGGAGAGTGATGAAGTTGTGTGCTTAGGCTAATATTATGTTATTACAATATGTATTACCTTTATGTTAACGTTGTGTTGTGTAGAAGCGAATAATACAAACATTTGTAGAGGTAACTTATGGTTTTATTTAAGTATAACTTTAATTAGTAAGAGTGTTGAACTTTACAAATATATTTTGCCATATGGACATCAATGAAGATCTTTTACAAGTCTACCCGATCGGAAGAACACCTTGTTAGATGATAAAAGGTATCATACCTTTCCATGTTTTTTTTCTCAAAGAAGGTAACCTTCTATTATATCTACTTCAAGTCGGTCTGCTAGTCTTTGATCTTGGTTCTTCATTCGAGCTCAAAAGTAAGTATGTACATATATTCTTTGCATTCGTTTATGAATACAAAGAAGTTCAATGACTTGCTTAGTACGTTTCAGGATTTCCACGATGTATGCTGGGCATTGCGTGGTTGATTGACTTGGGAAAGGCAGAACTGGAATGACTTTAGATGAAGATTTAACCTAGTAAAGAAGACACCAATTCATACAAGTAAGATTTAATATATTATAAGTACATGATTATATAATTGCAGGTGCCAACCAGACTGATGAGACTGACAAAGTTGCTAAAAATTATTGACGTGTCTATGAAATTTTCAGTAAATGAAATGTAATATATTTTCAGGAGATTTTTCATTGAATATTTATTTTCTACAAACCAGACTTGTTTTTAAACCTGTATAGATGGAGGTTCATACGAACGAGATCGTGTCAGACCGTAAGAGACTTGAAGAGAGTAGATAACTTGTATTTCGTGATTTTAGATTTTGTTTCAAATATACTATCTATTTCGTTGTTAGCTGATGGTAGATCCTTGTGGGCATTGCAAGTCGTAGGAGCGTCACAGGAAGTACGAGGACTGGTGTTTTAATGTATGTGAATCATGACGTTTCTTCTATTATCGTTTAGCGGGGATAGCGGGAATTGTGATGTAGGAATGTAACATTTTTAGATGTTAGGGAGAATCAGAGGAAGATAAGTTTATCGTTTAATCAGGTAACGTAAGATTGGCAACTTGTTTGTAAAACGCCTTAATTCTATGATAGCGATTTCACAATGAATGTGAACTGAAACTATGCAACACGTCTGGTACTCAGGCCGTCACCGCAGACTTCTCTGTCTATTCGCCTCATTTAATGAAAGTGGCGTAGTTCTGAAAAATATTGTGTATTTTTCCTTCATTGAACTATAGTATTTGTGCTATAATAAAAAAAAATTGGAAACCTGTACATTGTCCTAGAATTTGAATTGTTAAGAGCGGTGAATGGATCATCTGAAATTATCTGTTTCCCAAGCAGAAACTGTGTGTGTTGACTTGTTGTATTAAAATTTGGATAATTTTCGAGTGTCGATTGGACGTGTAAAGCAAATAAATAATTGACTATGGATTATTTAAGTATTGTTAATCAATAACAACAATGTTTGACTTTGTTTCAGAACCCATATTTAGACGTAAAGAAACTCTGCCACACAGAAACGTTACTTCTAAGAAGCTGGTGAAAAGAACAGGTAGAATTCGTCCACTATAAGATAAAAATATTACCCACGTAACTGAAAAATAATATCTCGTTTTACGCAATTATTTACCGACCTAGTATTGTTCCAAGGCTGTTTTATTGAATTTAATTAGAATATTTATGACTAGTCCCAATAGTAAGATTACTAAAAAAACGCGTTTTAAGATTGCATTTTAATATTACTCCAATTCAGATTGTTTATTAGTGACTATACAAATTGTAATTTTAATTTCGTTTCAATATAGCTACTGTAGAATTCTTTTTTTTTTAATCACTCTGGCACGATTTGTGCATTAGCCAGCGTGAAGTATAGGATTTTTTATAATTCGTGCTTGTCTTTAGAAATTCGACCGTGTCCTCCATGTACGGTTTAAGCACTCGCCCGGTACCGCACAACCCTCCCAAAGGCCGAGAACAAATTTTTAATTAAATTAAAACTTGCCCTCGAACCGGGAATCGAACCCGGTACTCCTCACCTAGCTGCCACTTAATAAGACCGCTAGGCTATGAGGCCCTGTAGAATTCTTACTACTCGAAATATGTTTGACCGCGTATTTTGTAAATAAATTTTTAATAACTCTGTATAGATACGAAGATTCAGAGCGTTGAAAAACGAAAAGTTATTGAGAAGAAAGCAACGGTGGAGGAGGAAGACGACGAAATTGAAACAGGTTGGTGCCATAACTTTTACAATCGAAGCGACTGTGCTGTTGGGGAACTACTCCTCAATGAGATATATTTTTGTTTCTTTAAAGTGAATGAGACCGTTATCGTAATTTGACGTCTTCGGAGATAATTACCAGCTCATGTCTTACTATAGCGAGATAAAGACTTCCCAAGAGCTGCTTATATATACATATACATTATATATACAGTGTAAACTCCATGTAACGTCTCCAATTTAACGATGAAATCCATTGGCTTTGGTTGGTTTGGCTTATCTGCCATACAATGATACACTCTATATAGCATTACACCTACTCTCAATAACGACAACAATTGAGTAATAAAGTACTTTTTAAGTTGCAAAAATTAGTAAAAACTGCGCAGCGGTGTACGTTCTTTTGTCGCTTTATTATCCTAGCCCGCAAAAACCCGGCTGTCGGCATCATGCATACGTACTTTCTAAGAAATACGTTCTTTTGTTTGCAAATTGGGATTGCTTGCACGTGTAGACTGTTGTTGACCATGACTAATCAGTAGGAGGATTATCTGTACTTTTTTCTTCTCTCCATTTAACGACAACTCTCTAAAACGCATCAAAATGCAGTCCATTCAGTGTCGTTATATAGAGTTTACACTACTTCAAATGTATTTTTAATTGTAGATTAATCGGTGTAGGTATTATTGTGTAGTTCTATCGTATTAATAGTAACTGCTTTGATAAAAACAGTTAAGTGGGAAATAAATAAAAACAAAATTTGAATGGTTGACGCAAGTAACTTAGGAACTTGGATGTATTTAAATTGATTTATGGATGTAAAGATTGATATATTCCTGTTCACAGCTAAGATAGAGAGTCAAGAGGAGATAGAAGCGATGTTTCCAACACAAGCGGTCCAAGGTACGAAGGAATTGGACCAGCTCACGTCTAAGCTGTTGGAGTATGAGCTCCGACATATCATGATCAAGGTATGTTTTCACATCAATTTAGAATCAATACTTTATACCTCGTACGTTCAATAAAAAAAACTTTATTAAGTATTTATTATTTATAAAAGCCTGGTGATTAAAAGGTTCGATAGGCTGTGCACTAATGGACTATCTACGTAGTTGGTCCCAAAGTTCTGTCTTAGAGGTCTTAGAGAGGAAGGTCTGTCATAAGCTCCATAAATATTTGGAGAGTCTGAAGCAGTGTTGCCAGACGTCCCGATTTTTAAATCAAAATGAAATGTCCGCGCGGGACAGGCTTAGTCCCGCTTTTCTGGAATAATTCGATGGCAATAAGAAGTGTGTACTACCACCACCGCACAATATTGGTACCAACTCTTTTAACAGAATCCAAACAAAATATCGGGATTATCTTCAAACTTTATATTAAGTATCCTACCATCAAACTGCTTTCCAAAACGCCTTCTTTTTTAAATGCTTCGTAAATTTAATGAAATCAGAGTTACTCATCAAGTTTAATCTGCAGCTATCCTGTGAAGAGTTCTTCGTCTTTTTAAAGAGAAAAATTAATCTTTTAAAGAAGTTATATCTTCATAGAAATATTATGAATAAGTAATTCTTATAAAAATTACTGTCTTATTGTAAGTTGCAATTTGAAACCCTCAATCTTCAGAGTATTGTTTGAAACGCTATATTTTTCTAATACATAAGACTTTTTTTATTTTGTTTTTTTGTTTTTTAATCAGAAGATGAATAAGAACTATTTAACGATAGGTTTAATCTGATTTAAATAAATTTTCTGTGACTATTTTCGCTGTCTATTGTCACAAAAACGTGATTTGAACTCAATTAAAAACATAAATATTTAAAAACTTCTGATTATTTAAATTTTTTTACTATGTCCCGCTTTCGACAAATGTATCCCCTTTTTCACTTTAAAAGTGCCTAAATCCCGACTTGACTAAAAAGAAATCCGGCAACGCTGGACTTCAGAGTCTGAAGTCATCTTCAAAAAAGCAGTCACTGAAATCGACATGAATATGGTGCGTGCTGCGATAGACTACTGGGCTTAAGGGCCTGTATTAATAAGGGAGGTCATTTCGAATAATTTATGCTATTTCTATATATAAATTGATATATCACTCATTAAACACTGATCAGTATTTTTGTTTTTATCATTATTTCCATTTATGACAGAACTTTGGGACCGACTACGTATGTAGACGGCGCGGCGTGTGTCAGGCACAGGCGAGTGATCTAACTTGCCTATTAATTAGATTGACAAAATTGATTTGTTTTTTTATTTTTATTTTTTATTTTTAATATCTCGCCTGAAATATAATTTGCTGTTAGTATAGCTATAATATGAAATCAATTTTGAAAATTATTTTTTATTTGTGCAGGTATGGCAAGTGTTTCCGGATGATCCGGTTACGGATGATGTTAAGTTTGTCACAGAAAAGTTCAGAAATGAAGCCGGCGATGATCTAAGGAATGTAAGTATTCGTGTTAGAAATTCTTATGCAGAGTAAAAATAATTCGTACCGTTTTCTCTTTCAAAACTAGTAATTTGTGAAATGGACGTGTTCTACCTTCTAACCATATGAAAATATTTTCGTATCATTAATCTTTTCATGTGTGTACTTATCTTCTAGGTGATCGGGCTCAACGTCACAAAGAGACTGCTAAATGTTCACAACAAACTGATTGTCAAGGTAAGGATATATTATATTCATGTGATGTAAATTTTTTCATCAAAGCAATGTTGTAATGTATGTAATATCATCACAAATTGTTTAGCTTAAACATTGTGTTACATACAAATACTGTAAAAAATTAACAAATTTTAAAGGGACAACACATTCTAGCCCTCCACGAATATCTCTTAAAAATTATTATTTCATAGGATCTTGTATCACCGTTTCATTTTATCTATTAGAAAAAAATCCTGTACTAGAAAAGTTAGAACATAAACTTGCAATATTAGATAACAAAAACGGACAGTAGAATGTTAAGATAAATAAATAATATAATACTTGGGTGATTACATAAGGCGACAAAATACTAATAATTATATTATATTGGTTAGGGTTAGTTTCAGCTATATATTCTATATTCATAGAATTAAATACATTTATATACATGTAACAAATTACATAAGACGTTGTAACCAATAATAATAGTACTGAAGTATTTTCGAACCAATTCGACTTAGGGTCCTTCAAGAAAAGAGCGTAGCAATTCTTGAAAGGCCGGCAACGTACTTGCGAGCCTTCTGGCAGTGGACACTCTCACTCACACATGGGCGGCGGTATCACTTAACATCAGGAGAGCCTCCTGCCCGTTTGCCTTCTATTACATTTAAAAAAAAATTTAAAAAGAGCCTATTTTTACAACTTCTTTATTCTACACTAGTCCTGGTCTTAGAAGGTAATGGTACCTTCGTTACAGGTGCGTTTTTCGTGTCGTCCAGAGAAGGAGAATCTTCTTGCCTTTCTCAAAAAGTATAGAGTGACGGGATTCAAACGCATCAAATCAGCCACCAATACATTCGCGGCCCAACTGAAGAATATTGATGACTTTGACAAAATATGCTCCACCAAGGAGATTAGATGTGGTAAGATATTTTGGTACTGATTTAGATTTTTACTAGTAACCTTTTTATGACAGCATCAAGCCGGATTTAAGTATGCATAAATAGCTGTAAGGAAACCTAATACATATTTACAAAATTAAAGGGGTCATGCTGCAAAGCCGCAGTCAATGGCTAGTGATAAAAAGCATTAACTGAAGAAGTGCTGTTTTTTATATTTATAATGAATGAATTTTGTCAAAAGTAGTAATCAATTATCTTTAAAAATCTGTTTAATTACATTGTTGTATCTAAAGTACTTGGTAATCGCTTTCAGCCATATTAAATTTCCCCTTAGGAAGATTATTAGCGCTTGGGGGGGAAAAGTTTTACAAATTCATTTAATTTTTTATGAAGATGTTGACATTCTCCACCTTACCAAAGAGGATGTGAGGAAATATTTTAAAAAGCTAGAAGTTGTCGATTGTTGAATGTATAATTTCAGTTTTCTTTTCTTTATCTATTAATGTATTACTTATATTTTCTGTTTCATGTATTTTGTTTATCAAATCTGTTTTGGCTTTGTATATTGTCTAAGTGTTTTCTTTAATAATATGAATATGTGTAGCTGTAGTATTACTTATAAATAAATGAATAAAACGCTTTATCTTTAACATTTGTTAATTTCAGGGAAGTCAAAAATTACAATCACTCCGTGCTACAACTTCATGAAGCGGCCACCTAATCTTAAAACTAAATTTGTCGACGATACTGATGACGAAAAGGCCGATGAATCTCATGAAATACAACAAAAGCCAATAGATGCTCCTGAAATTAAACTAAAGGTGGAAGTAAAAAAAGCGCCAGAAGATAAAATAAATATAGAAACCACACCTTTACAAAACAAAGAAATTAAAGGTCATAGTGTACACAAATTGGAAACAATGAAAAAATCATCGAATGAAAATACTGTTATTGACAGCACTAGTACTAAAACGGATTTCAATAATAAACCTTCTATAAATACACCTACATCCGTAGAGAGTGTTCCTAAAAGTGCAGAAAAAGGAGTAGCCAGTGGTACTAAAGTCACCAAACCTACTGCCGCTAAAAATAATACTGCATTCAAAAAACCAGTTCCAAGGGATGAAATGCGTTTGGTTTCTAAAAAACAAAATATAGAATCTGTAAAAAAATTACATCCAAAAACCGCAGAAAATGTTAGTAAATCAATACAAAAAAGCCCTAAAGTCACCAAGATAGAATCCAAGGAAACTGTCAAAAAGATTGTAGGAGCTAAATCTCGGGCAAAGATTGTATGTCCAGTTAAAAAAACTAATTTTAAATCTCCGGTTGCAATGCAAAAAATAAACAAGAAAGATATTATTAATAAGTACAACGATTATGATGAAATGAATGACGAAGATATAGTAGCTTTGCTGGCGGATGCCGTCGTCTTAGATGAATATGCCTCGGAAGATGAGTAATTAATGATAATTAATAATGAGACTAATTTTAAGAATTGGTAATTAAATTAAAATGTTGATGTGAATTATGTATTTATCAATACAAATCCTCTTTACGCTGCGTGTTTATTATTACAACTATCCCCATATTTAATAAGTACATCATAAACAGGGAATATAATAAGGAGTTTTCAGATATGATCAATTATTAAAAAATCTACATGCAAACTAAATTATGGAATAGTCTTTATCATAAAATTATTCAATGAATCATTTTCAAGCAATCTTAGAAGACATCAATCTATCTGAGTATAATTTCCTTTGCGGGTTTTAATATTTAAATGATACCTTTTGTTATGTAAATGATGAGAAAAGAAGTACCTATTTAAGTCGAGAGAAAATATAATTAATATATATTCTATTCTTTAATACTTTGATAATATTCTTATTCTTTTAGCAGTTAATACCAATATCACATCATGGGATTATGCAACCTAGATAAACCTTCATTCTTCCCGCTATTCAAAACATAACTTTCGGGGTCCGTGTACCACAAGGCTCTCGTCTAGGGCCTTTTCAATACTAAATATACTTTTAAATACTATTTAGCATATTTGTGAATAATATAGTAACCTGTTTTGAGAATTCTAACGAGTATATGTATGCAGATAATCTCATGTTTTATCGTATAATTAGTAACTTATAGGCTTTTCTCCTGTCAGATTTGATATGATATAACTTCATGGTCATATTTTACAACTATTCAAGGAGAAAGAGTCACTTAGGGGTAATTTTTGACATTAAAAACGTTTATAGAAATCGAGGACAGTAGATAGACGAAAGCCCATGCCATGGGTTTTACTCGACAGTTTAGCTCGATCGAGTAATACCGTATGTGAGTACTGTACCTTACTACTGTTTCCTCATTTGAAGCTCGCAAATGGACTAGTTTTTCTTGTTTTTGCAACACTTTACACTTCTCGGTCATTATAGTCGTTATAACTCAATGATGTATAATATTATTTATCGTCTAATATAAATCAGATACAAAAGTGTACCACTTAGTAGTTTGTGTATAAAATAATTTACGAATTTGCAAAATCAAAAAGCAAGGGTATGAAATAGTAACTAAACTTCAAAACAACGCAATATTCATAAGCACTGTTTAATATTATTTAGCAACACGTCTGATTTTTTTCTGAAATTATTTATGAAAAAAATTAAATAAGGACTATTTTATAAATTTTTATTGTTTCAAATAATGTTGAGTATTTTGGTTATATTTGAGATTCTGGTTAAAATATTTTGGAGGCTGGGGTGTCTGCAACTTCATCTTCAACCTGCAAATAAAACTCCAAATATATTATAAGTTCCTACTTATATCTTTTATTAAATCTAAAAAAATACTTATATATGCAACGACAATATAAAACACCTATATATTGTATGTAATTGTTTCTGTCAAATTAACATCAATTACTACCATAGACTAGGTAGGTATGAACAATAACTACAAAAGGACCTAGTTTATTTTCTAATACTCTAAAGGTGTGATGTTATACTAAATACACGATATGGTATAAAAATTTTGCCTGTAAATGGCTAAATTAATTTTGAGCAGCACGAAGCAGTGATGATGCTCGTCTCTTCTTAGGAGCTGCCGCTTCTAGTCTTTTTCTTTCAGCTTCCGCTTCATCAGCTGTATTATAAACATCTTTGGGAGCAACCTGAATTAGAAATGCTTATATTTATAGAGTAAATACTTCTTGGGTTCTGCTACTAGCTAGGTCTAATGTAAGATTAAAATGAGAAAGTGCACTGGCTGGCACACTAGGCTTCTCTGTTAAATGTAAGTAAGGATCTAATACATTCTTTAGTAGTATTAGAAAGTGGAAACCTATTCACAAACAGACGTACATATATAAAATAATGCATTAGAGCGCGCAGAACAAAACGTTAAATTGTTTTGACACCTTCTGCGTATCTTAAATATATTGTAGTTTGCCATCACAGTTTAAAGGCAGAATTGAGGTGTCAAGTAAATTTTGTATGAAAACGTTAAAATGGTTTAAATATTCTACAAAGGGGTATTTCTGTGAATTGATCACCATACCTGTACAAAGAAAATGTATTCAGTGACAAACTGTCCTCCTAGTTCGGTATTTAATTGTGTAGTGTATTGTTTAGTAATTACTAAACTATGTACAGTTGCTATAACTGTAGATTGTGGTTAACACTTGATGGTATTCTTCTGTCATCTTCATCTTTGATTTTACCGTCGCCAGATCTGGCTGAGTTTTGGATTCGTCATGGCTCAAGAATCTTTTCAAGGTAAGTTAGTTGTTGGGGTTTGAGTGGGGCCTCAAGTAAACAGGTCAAATTTTGCGGTCAAAAGGAAAAAGTAACATTTTTAAATTCAACTTTTTTATAGTTTAGCGCACTTTTGTTATTGGGAGTTGGCAACATTACACAATAGATTTTCGGCTTCAACTTTAAAGTTTCAACTACTATAAAATTTAATTAAAATATAATTAGTCTGTGATTAAAGAAATTATAAAATTTAAGTTAGAAAAATTACCATTAGATCTATTTGACGATAGGGATGGTCGATGTTAGAAAACCATCATTTGACATCGATGTCATAATCGAAAGCCCAACATCGATGTTTGACATTTGTCGTAAACCGAACAGCGATGATTTTGCATTAATAATTGACAAAAAAATAAAATACAGTGAAATGGTTCGAAATTAATTAAGAAACAGAACAAATTATAACATATTTCGATATTTTTTATCAACTGACTGAATGAAAAGTAATTTTGATTAAGAAAGAACCTTTTAATATATTTCTTTGTTGATAAAGAGTAGTGAGGAACTGTGACAGAAAGAGCGAGCGAGAATACGACTAACGAACGAAGGGCACGACCTGGGCGCAGAAAGAATACGCTTTCAAAATTTTAATAAACCTGATTTGTGGATGCGTTCATAGAAGACATAATTTGTTTCGTAAGTTGCATTGGTCGTGCGGGAGGCCGTGAGTTAACATCGATCTTCGATTCAGTTAACATCGATGTTACGATATTTTTAGTATAGCAACATTGATGTTTTTGCTTTCAACATCGATGGTCATCGAGCATCCCTAGTCTGTGAAGTGTGTACTGTGTACGGCTTCTCGTTTAGAGTGGTTCATTTGTTGTATTTCTTTGGTAACTTGTTATATTTCTGATACTTAATAATAAAACCATAAAATATGAGAGGCCGAGGTGGACAACGAGGTAGAGGATTCGCTCAAGGTGCACTGGGCAACAGGGATTGGGACGCGAAAAAATCTGCAACACAAAATGGCCCACTGATGACGGATCACTTGAGAGTACGTACCGTTAATAATTTATATATGTATTACATTTCTACAGGATCTTAAGATGCTTTCATCGCACAAAACCATACAAATACCATAGAAGACTCAGCTTTCCAATAACAGCAACACAGCGTCGATCTTCAAATTCTATTGCCGAAATCTACGGAATCGTCTACTAGCCCGATTGAAATTTTTGTTCTTGAAAATTCTCAAAATAAGTCGACAATTTTAGGTGTACTTCTGCAATACCTTACAAAATAACGTAACTTACCACGTCAGTTGTGTTTTAAATACCAACTCCGTCTCTGTCCAGTTACTCGTAAAAAAAAAGTGTTTTCAGATCTAGTTTTAGATTTAGAGATCTGAGTAGATTTACACTATAATGCAAATTACACATTTCTTGGTTCAAGTGGTAATGTTTAATTTATCATTTATTTACACAGGATATTGATATAGAGTTGGAGATACTGAACAGGCGAAGACAGATGCTTCAGCAAGAACATGAACTGCTTGATCAGGAAAGGGAATATAATTTCAAGGTATATTATTAATATATGTTTTGAACCTTAAGATATATTGTAACTAAACCTGAAAATATGAAAGTTATACTAAAATAATAATATCCTAAGTAGTTGCCTTACTAGGATGCAACCCACATTCCTTTTGTTATTTAATTAATAAGTTATAAAACCTCAAACCCCTTTTGAGTTTTCAAATTAATTATACATATTAGTTAGTAAACTGTATTCATATTCAATTACTTTGTTTTATCTTTTTTTTATTATTTCATTTTAAAACATCAATTATAAAGTATTATACTATACGGTTGATGATGGTTTAAATGGAATACCTAAAACATTTTTAAGACTAGGTTTTAACAATATTTCCAAAATTGGTTAAATCTTACTAATATGACCAATATATCAATTGATTTTCAGAGACATTATGATTATGAGCAACCTATGACTTCTTACAACCAGCCTAACTACTATCACAGGCAAGGCAATAAACGCCAGGCTGTTGAAAGAGCTCCTTCAAAACAGTTCAACCTACCTGCAAGAGTTGAACCCTGGGAGCACAATGCCCAATCAAATAACCCTAGCTTTATCCCTCCATTACTTAGCTCTGTGACAAGAAACCTTCTGACTAGGCCTGCTAGACCCCCTTCACGTAAAGAGTTTAGGCCAACTAAGCCCACAGTCCCAGTGCGTAGCAATTTCAATCCAACTAGAGTAACAAAACAGAAATTGCGTACTGGCTTTTTAAAAAAGACTTCAATTTCTCACCCTCAAGACATCCAACCAAAAACAATCGTTACACCAAAATCTAGCTATGTGCCTCCAAAATCTAGCCATGTGCCTGCAAATTCTAGCCATGTACCTCCAAAATCTAGCCATGTTCCTCCAAAATCTAGCCATGTGCCACCAAAATCCAGCCATGTGCCACCAAAATCAGCCATGTGCCTCCAAAATCTATTTCTGCGCCTACAAAATCTAGTGTGGCTTCATCTTTCGCTGCAATAGAAGATGACACATTCATTTTGCGTCATAACGTCCAACCTTCGCCGCAGTTGAACGGCCGATTGGAATTAGCTTTAGGAACGATTATAAAGGATATTAAAAAATTAGATTCTTCTAATTTCTCTCTAACCGCGGCGTCATTTCAAAGCCAACGAACACTTAAGCAGATAATTAGAGAAAGGATTCACTCTGTCATGCTAGATAAGAAGGTTGGGAATATGCAAGATATTGTTGCTTGCTACCGAAAAAAATATCCAGTAGAGACAGACGCCGAATTACTTAAACTTGGCCATGATTGTCAGGTTTACTATATCCACACCTTGGGTATTACGCCTACTATTAACTCAGGTAGTTATTACACTTTACAATCTCTGTAATGATTTAAACTAAATACCTATCATTCAGAAAGCTTGTTCAAAGCTTCAGTTGAATGTCTCGATGAACTAACAACTTAGTACATCTTAACATAGCAGAGACCATAATTTCATGGTGCTAAAACTCTGAAATTATGTTATCTATTGATATACTTTTTTTGCTCACATAAATCAGAACTTGTAAAAAACAATAATATGAAAATAATTTGTTTAGGGTTTAACCTAACTTTTAAGTGCTGTATTTCAGATAATATTAAGGACTTTTTCAAGGCCAATCTGACTAAAGTACTTCATAATAAAGTGGAAAAACTTTTAAGTCAAGTGAGTATAGCTTTTTTGTGATATAGCTGTAACTCTTAGAGCTTGTATTGTTTTGCTTTTAGTATATTAAATAAATGTTGTTTAACTAATATACAAATATAATGATTTAGCTCAAGGATATCAGCTCAGTTCAAGATGGTGATGATACAATACTGAAAGTAATGGATGATGTGATTGACCTAGAAGAGAGTGATATAGTAGAAAATGCACCACGAAAACCTAAGAATGACGACTTGTCTAAAGATGAAGGAACTGAAGAGGAGAAAGTTAGTAAGAAAATTGAGAAGGCAAAGATTTATATGAAGTTGATGGAGAACTTGATTGACGTTAGACTGCCTGCTATACTTACCAAACATAAAGAAGTTAGTAACCATTCATGTTCTTAATGTTCAATTGTAAAAATATTACTATACTGGCTTCCACATGCAGCTTGCACTATGCATTTTGTGTATTTTTGTTACCTTCATTTGTTAATATAATTATATTCAACTAGCAGACCAGCCAAGCGTTGCTGTGGCTAAGGTTTTTACTTTTTGTTATATTACATAGTAGCAAACTATTCAAGGGAAACGGTAGGAGAACACCAGTCATGGGGACCACCATGCTTTTTTGGTGGTTATGTTAAATTGTAGCTTATGCGAAACGTTGGTACTTTCAACACAGCGCCATCTGTTAGAATTGTGACTATCAAATAATAAACAAATATTTTGCAATAAAATAATATTGCGGGTATAAATTGTGATGTAAGCTATCCTATCTTTTAAGTTGGATCAAACTACACACGGTGTGCAAATTTGATTGATATCGGTTCGGTAGTTTAGGAGTCCATAGCGGACAAGCAACGTGACACGTAATTTATATATATATATATTAAGATGGTTGTAAAAAACTACAAAAATTTCTGAGGATTATTCCTTTTTTCCAGAGTTTTGTCACAATGATGGAACCTGATAAAGAATATAAACTTGCCAAGGCTGAAGTTATAGTAGCCACAGTGAAGGAAGCTGTTTCTCTGGTTGCCAAGAAAATTGATAGTACCAGGATTGTGGATGGAATTATTGATAATACTACAACCACTAAAGAGACTGAACATACTGAAGAAAATGAAACAGTTTCAGTCAATACTGAAGGTTCCAATGAACCTACTGTCTCACAAAATATTTCAACTCCACCATTGGTGTGTGTGAGCACACCAACTTCCAAAATAACTGAACATCCCTATTATGTAAAGGTAATGTGTATATATTGAATTTTAACCACTGTGTCCAAGAATTAGTATTATAAATTACTTAGGTTTTTAAGAGTTGTTTAATTTTATAAATTATGTGAAAACTGCATTCATAATATGTATTTAATTGTTGTAGAAAAGAAAATATTCATAGAATGAAGCTAGAAGACTATTGTTAAATTGCGATTTGTTTTTTGTTTACACATGTACTTCTCATTCAACAACTTCTTAAATATACATAAACGTGAATTTAATCACAATAGCACGTTTCGCGTGATTACATGGTGTAATAAATTCTTTTAAAAATATTTAATATACAATCATGAAAAATTTATACTGTTTTCAGTTAATTGGCCGTCCTGAATTACCATCCCGCGCCTCAGTCTATGCATATTTAGAGCAATTCAAACCTGCTAGCATCAAAAAGCATAAAACTATTGGTAATTTGCTAGTCATTGGATTTAATGATAAGGAAGCTTATGAAAAAATAATGGAGGCTGGCGAAAAAGTTATTGGTATGTTCTATAATTATTATAGTGGAACAATTAAATGATCTTGATATTTTTTTATAAATTTATAATGTATGAGGGAGACTCACATACTTTAAATTATATACTTGCACAATTAGGCAACGGCTATGTGATTTCCTCATTAGTAGGCATTTTAAATAATATTTTATTGCACGCAGGTGAAAATACCATCACTGTAAGGTCAAGTGAAAAGGTAAACCTGACTCCTCAAAAAATTGAAAATGTGAATGCAACTCCACAGAAGAGTGATGATGCACTTAATGACACAACTTCAAAAGAAAGTACTTCACTTAACGATGCAGACGAAAATTCACTCCAAGATACAACCACCAATAAAGAAGGAAACGAAAATAAGGATTCGGACGCAACAGATCTTAACGACAGCTTGAATATTGGTCAAGATATTGAAGATCAAATAACTAACTTACTCACGGAAGTTAAGAACGAAGAAGAGAATGATGAACATGCAAATACTGATAAGGAGTATGAAAATAAAGACATAACTAAACCTAGTGAAAGTGACGATAATATTGTCGAAGAAGCTTCTAAAACGATTTCCGAAGTTACTGAAACAACAGCTTGTGTAGAAAATATTCAACCAACTAAAACTAAGTCTCAGGATAATGAAAACTTAAATGGTAATGATTCAAAAGATGACCACGCAAATGAAAGCGATCCAAAAAAACAAACAGAAAACGCACATGTTGAAGTAAATGATGTTAAAAGTAATCTAAAAGATTGCGGACGCGCAACACCTACAAGGTCCTCATCTAGATTAGCGTCGACTCCTAGTACAATTAAAACTAGACGCGCCAGTAGATTAGCGCAAAATCAATGATAATAATAATAGTTTGCTGAAGTAAAATTTGATTAAAATTTTATGTGAATTTGGTATAAAGCTGTGTTAGCTTATAATTATGTGACTAATAATGGATTAAATTGATTAAATTCTTACTTGTTTTATTTTTTACCGGAAATTTCCGGTAGTAGTAGTACAATCTTGTTAAATTGAAAAAAATATATAAACGCAACCGACCAATGTTATGGGTGTACAAGAATTGTTTTTTCTATTTAAAGTAAAAGCCATAATTATAACCGAAATTTTCTTAAATTTACTTGCATTATTACAAACTTACGTCTTCTGCGATCGGAATTGTTCGTGGAAGAAGGAACGTGCTGCGCTTTCACCGACCTAAAGGGAGAATCCTCTACCACTGACTGGGAAGGTCTAGTGGCTAAAATTGAGAAGTTGTATATATTCTTAGCCGTCGAAATAATTGTTGATATGAGTTTTTGGTGTCACTACAGGTTAATCTATGCCGTAGTTTTTGAACTCATGCCAAAGACGAGTTACTTTTATATAAATCGTATTAAAAAGATACATACCATGAGCTGGTTGATGTAATACTCATAAGTAATAGTATCCGTGACAGGATCTAGAGCCGTTTGCATCATTTCTTCAAACTCTTCCTGTAATCAATATTTTGTAGCAAATATGGTTAATTATAATTCAGTGGTGCTGCAACCCTATATGGTGTTTTGCCATCGCATCTGTTTCTTTGATTTCCATAGACAAGTAGATGATATTACGTCAACGCTTTTTTAGTCTTTGGACATGTCTGTTACTTTACGGTGTTTGCCTTCACCATACGAGCTGTTCCATTACGGACAAAGAAAAATCCATTGATATACAGCCGGGATTTGAATGTATATGTTAAACTTTCTGCTAACAATTTATAGCGATGACTTGAACTACGTACCTGTGTAAATGGTTCTCCTTCTTCAAGCATGAGTTGTGTAAACCTTTCTTTTGAAAGGTACCCGCGTCCTTCAGTATCAAAATATCGAAACGCAGCTAGTAACAATTCTGCTGATGCAGGGTAAAACCTAAAAGGAAATGATCAAACATGTTCATGCAATAATAGCCGGATGTGAAATTAATTGAAACAATTTTTACAACGAAAACACGAAATATTTTTTTTACCTTTTACCAAAGCTTTGATATTCCGCAGAATTCCGTTGAAATGAAAGAACTGGCACGAGAATCAAACTCCGATTTTTTTTATATTAATGATACTTATAACGCGTGTAGACTTATTAGTTATGAATAATAGTTTTAAGTATTGAATTAGGGATGTGACATTCTGCATAAAAAAATCGATTTTTTATTAATCGATTATTTTTTTAGCATGAAAAATCGATTAACAAATAATCGATTTTTCTTAAAAAAATAATCGATTTTTTTTATTAATCGATTTTTTCCTAATTTTTGAATTAATTTCAAAATAATCACCCTAAATATTTTATTTTTCATGTTTTTTTTAATTATAAATAAACAATAAAAATTATAAACACAAATTAACGTTTAAGTATAATCAAAATCTAAATTAACTTAAGCTCGTTTTTGAAATTTGTTAAATGCTGAATGTATGCTTTTTCAGAAGCAGAATTTTTGTTGTCTTTTTAATTTTATGTAATCTTGTGCTGCTGAATAAATTTATTTTACTTTTAAATTATAGTGTTCCATTCAAACTTTGAGTTTTTGTAAAATTCACTGGTTTTATCATCCTTTCGATGTTTTACAAAAAAACATCAATGCATCGAGTATATCAATACATCTTCAAGGAATCGGATTCAATGTATCGTTGTAAACATCGTTGTATATCGAATATCCCTAATAGTTCCAGGTCCGGGTTATAAAAGACCAGACATAATGTCGGGAGGTGGCAGATAAAAAATCGACTATGATTGATTTTCAATTATAAAAATAATCGATTATTAATCGATTTTTTTAAATATAAAAATCGCGTAAAAAAATCGATTTTTACTTTTTTAAAAATCGATTAAAATCGATTTTTTTAATAATCGATTATTTTTTCACATCCCTATATTGAATACTCTTCCTAGTCTGTGCTAGACTTTCATATTATATTTTTACGATGACGGTTCGTCCTAATTCGAATCCTGGCGAAACCAATAGCAAGACAGGCCTAAATATTACTCATTTGGTTCTCCACCCAAAATTTGTCTGTTAATTAGTGTTAAACTCATATACTATCAAAGAAACACAACGCTCAAGACCCTGTTTAGAAGAGTTGCAAGCCTCAATACATCGAGGATAAGTTTCAGTGTATTTTTAAAGTTGAATTAGTAGAAGTTAACCTGTGTTCCATCATCACTTTACACATAAATGGTAGAAAATTTGAAAGTGGTACATTTCCGGTAGCTTCCTTGTTTTCTGTCGCAAGTATAACTTCTTGTATTTCCGCTTCTGTAGGACAACATCCTGTAAATTTTCATCATGAATTAAAAATAATTTGTACCAATATAATAAAATTCTTTTTTCATATCATTGGTTACGTACATACCTAAAGATCGTAATATGGTTCCTATTTCTCTCACATCGACTACTTGCTTTCCGGAATGATCGAAGACTTCGAATGCTTCTATTATTTTCTTCTCTAGATCATTATTAGGTTGAACTAAAATATAGATGTATATTGTACAAACGACGAATACCTTTTCGTACTTTATTGTTACTTGAATATATAAATAAATAAAAAACAATGCTGCTGATATTAAGTTTAGGCTTATATTATTAATGTTTCTTTACCAATTAGAAATTAATTGTACAAGACCATTATCTTTATAGTTACATAAGAATTGCATTCAAATTATAGCGCTTACTTTTGGGCTCTTCTTTTCGCGCCATTTAAACGAGAATTTAATATGAGATTCTAAAATATAATATAAAAAATCTGCACCACCCACCCAAACACAGCAACTATAATAATTGTTACCACATTTGATACAAATAAAATGTTACTTAGCAACGGGTAAATATTTTTTTTGATTTCATTGGTACAAGTTTTCCAGAGAACATAGTTGGTCTGTGCTCTAATCTGTTAGACCTTCAATTTGGGTAATGGGTTATGAATAATGAAACGCCGCCAGTCGCCATTTTGGCAGCCATATTGTATTGTAATAAACTTGGCGCTATCGTACGCTGTTTTCGTTCCTAATAATTTTTCCAAGTAATGTCTGATTTCTTGTACATTTGTTTGTTTTAATGTGATCTATTGTATTTGAAGTCAGTGATTTAGATATTAAATAAGTTACAATGGATCCCGCTAAAATGAAAGTGGTTGATCTGAGATCGGAGCTTGGCGCACTTGGTTTAGATACCAAAGGCAACAAGCCGGCTTTGGTTGAAAGGTTAAAGAAGGCCCTAGAAGCAAAAACTGGAAAAAGTAAGCATTTATAGGTTTTACTCTGTTTATTAAAGTGTATGTTTTAACTTGAAAAAACTGATGCGAACGTTCTACTGCACGTGTAAATTGACGCTTCTTCCATATTATATTTGGTTAGGTATCTTGGTTGTATTTAACAATTTTAACATGGTGCCTGGCAATAACAACATACGTGTTAAATTTATCATTCAGTGCAAAATTTATAAATATAATTTGGACAAATAGTTTGTTTTTAGGTTTTAATGTTTTGGAAATTATAAATTGTTGCTATCTTAAGTTCCAAGTACAAACTTGACTAAAATAATTTCTTAAATTAGATTTTATATTAAATTTAATATTTAAATAAATTAACTTGTATAAGTAAGGGTCAGTGTTTATTTTACTAATATATGTATAGTGTAATAGAAAATAATCTACATATTTCTTATAGTAGACAACTTCCTTTATTTTTTAAATTCTTTACCAAGTACTTTCATAATATATTAACATATGGTAAGATTTAGAACTCACTGAAAAGATAATGTAACTATAAATCAAATGATTTGCTCAAGACTGCTTGTTTGCCCCTTTAGCATTAAAATGTTGAAAACAAAACTTAAGCTAAAGTAACATAAATGTATAAAGTATCATTCTCAATATATCTCAACATTTATTATAATTTGAATATAATAATGTAAGTTACAATAAGAATTTACTAATTTGTCACCTAGATTTTATGAAAACCATAGAGACATATCAGTGGAGTAAAAATATTTATATATTCATAGATGCACATTACAACAGGCAACTAAATTGACAAATTTTTAAGACAATTTAATTCTAATGGCTCAGCCAGCCAACCTTAGTTTCAGGTGCTGAGCCATTAGAATTAAATCTATTTAAGTTACAAAATTGATTATTTATTGGAATTTCTAGACAATTTATGGAATAAAGTATATTGGTGTGGCTAAGTTTTACAAAATAGTAAAACTGTTATCAGTAACATAACCATGTTTATTAAAGTTTGAGTTTCTAATAACTGATAAGAAATGCTTGAAATGGTTTTGTCACAGGTAACTGTAGTTTACGTGTACAAGTTATATCTTTTAAAAGAATTTAAATATCAATTTGGTTGTTTGATTTTTCTGAAAGTAATATGTAAGTGTTCATGTTGTATTTTTTAAATCATGATATAATTAAACAAAAAGCATAAAAAAATAATTGTGTAATTAAAGCTCATATTTGAATCTGGACTCTGACTTTTTTTTTTAGATATTCCAGATACATCTATTCTAGAGACATCTACAGAGGATTCAGATGAGGTGGCTACACCTCGAAAACCAGGACTAAGGACTACTAGACGTAGTTCTTCATCAAGGCTTACAGGCAGCACTCCTGCAAAGGTATAAAATACTTTTTTTTAAAGATTTTTAGATTAACTTTAGCTGTTCCTTGCATTAAACATCATACTATACAATTTGTGATGGAGTTATTTTAATACTGTGATATCTTTGAATAAATAATGTTTTTTTTTATTCTTGATCCGCTGTTGGTACTATCGTTGATTTGACTATCTTCGACATAACATATCATTTTTAAAAGAAGGCCTGAGAAATAACATGTTCCACCAATCAAAGAATCAAAGAATCTCTACAGCTTTGTCAAAACAGAACAAGTATTGATTTACTGTGTCCATATATTAGTTGGTATCATGTAGAATTGATAATCATAAACAGATTTCATTCATAAGGAAATTGTAAAATTTAATAAAGTATTTGTATAAAGAAAATACAATAAATTGCTTAGGTTGCAAGACAAGAGCCACCTGAGGTTATACCAGAAAAAGCAGAGAAAGAGGTATCCCCTCCACCTAAGGAAAGTCCTCCGCAGGCAAAACCAATTGCTAAATCTCCTGAACCTGAAAAACAACCTGAACCAGAGACTATGGACCAGGATGACAAGTAAGCCATATGAGTGTTTATTAATATATTATATATTAATGTAAAAAATCACTAGGGTGGTGAATAAAATTATTTAAAATTCTAATTATTGAGGTTCAAGCTAAGATTTAGATATAAGTATGACCTAACTCTAAATAGTCAAAATTTAGGATTGCCATGAAAAGCACCTCATTTTAACTAACTTGTATAAATAAGGATGTCTCTATGTCAAATGTTTCTATGTTCACTAAATTTTTTAAGTCACAGCATAGCCATTGTTTAGCTGCGCAATTGTCAATAAATACAAATTCCTTGCTGTATAACTTGTTTACACCACAAACGAGCATTTCAGTATAAACAGTGTAACTATATTGTTTTAGTTGGATAGTATAAAGAAATTTAATCTAACATGAGTTTGTATTTGTAGCAGTCAATCATCGGCTCCATCAAAGGAAGAAGATTCTGACCCAGGTAAATTTCTTAATGGTGTCGCTGTCTTAAAGCGTCTACACACGGTTCTAAAATCATAGGTAATATCGGAGAAGTGGTGGGAAGCACCCTAGATAGCTCCCTAAATTGCATTGTAAACAAATTTTATTATCAACCCTACTGCTTCTGCCTATTTCATCCCCACCATCATTGTCCTGATATTGCCTCTGATTTGAGGGCCATGTGTAGACGCTTTTACATTGCTGCTAATGGTAGCTTCCATTGAATCTATGTTTATTTAAATCTATACAAAAAGCTGAGATATTTTAATAAACAACACTAAGTGAGACTGTAAAGCTATCAATATTTATTGGTGTATCTTATAATATTTCTTAATCTTCCTTTAGCTGAATCTATGGATGTTGATCAGAAACAAGAACCTAAAATTGATGATCATAAAGGTGATGGTGATGGTGAAGAAGATGAAAGTGTTAAAAAGATTCAAGCCGAAAATGAGGACAGAAAAGATGCGGACAAAAGAGATGCGGACAGAAAAGATGAGGACAGTAAAGATAAGGATAGAAGAGATGATGACAGAGCAGATAAGAGTAGAAGAGATTATGACAGAGAAGAGAAGGGTAGAAGAGTTGATGACAGAGAAGAGAAGGTTAGAAGAGTTGATGACAGAGAAGAGAAGGGTAGAAGAGTTGATGACAGAGAAGAGAAGGGTAGAAGAGTTGATGACAGAGAAGTTAAGGGTAGAAGAGGTGATGACAGAGATGATAAGGGTAGAAGAGATTATGACAGAGAAGAGAAGGGTAGAAGAGTTGATGACAGAGAAGAGAAGGGTAGAAGAGTTGATGACAGAGAAGTTAAGGGTAGAAGAGATGATGACAGAGGAGATAGGGATAGAGATGAAGACAGAGAAGATTCGGATAGAAGAGATGACGATAGGCGAGACGAGGTAAATTCAAAGTTATCATTCTAATGTTCCAGTAAAAGTCACAATTATATTGTACAACTTCCAGTTTACTGTTTTTTTTAGAATTCGAAGCTAAGACTTCGAAATAGAGGACCTCTGTAAACCTATAATTATATTGTAATTTTAGAGACGAGAAATGGAGATAACTGAAGAAGAAGAATGGGACTTGCTCAATGAGAAGCTGATCGTCAAGGAGAAAGAACGAATTGAGCGGGAGAAGAAACAGCAAGAGGAAGATGCGAAGAGATTTGAGGAGCTGAGTGAGGTGAGATAAATTCTGTCTTTTTCTGTTAATGTGTTTTTATGCTGTGATGTATAGAGACAGACACAGCTTATAAAGCAGAGGTTAATACTGTTAATGTCGCCACTTTAGGAATAGATTACATTTTAAAGGCATAATATTACACTTATTTATTGTTTAATTGTTTTTTGAAGTTATACTTCTTTAGGCGCGTTATAAAAATTGATGAGAGTGAAATTTTACGATACGCGCGCACCGTGACACAAAATTAACAGAATAAAGTTAGTGGCGCATGTTGGCACGCACGACGCCTCTGTTCACTGTGTATTTATAATATTTATCCACATGCTTTGAGTTTCTACATTTAAAACACGTGTTTTCATTTTGTTTTCATTATACAAGTGCGAATTTTATATGTACGTCTGAATTATAATCAGAAGTGATTTAAATTTAATATTTAAATCAATACTAATTAATATTAGAAAATAATAATAAATATAAATATTTATTTATTTAATTGTTTAAATGTAAACTGCACTTTATTGACTATAATGACTCCTTTGCCATTCTTTGATTATTTCATTGTAATTCATTATTTGCATGCAATCAAAAATTATTTTTAATAATGCCAAAGAAGTATTACGCGCGACGCGAGTAAATCTTACGTGCGTACATACGTACACGCACCCTTTTTTTTTTAATATATCTAAACTAGTTCTAGCAAACAACAGATATTAAAAATAATTATAAAAACATATTCTTTGTGCTTGCTTATAAACAGATTTTTTGTGATTATAGACAGTTAGTCTGGATTTCATTATTTATTACATGTTACTTTACTTTGAGCAGTGTTGGCCTAGTGGCCTAGGTCGTAGGTTCGATCCCCAGCTG